CCCCCCCCCCCCCCCCCCCCTGCCCTCTCCACACCGTTATCACTCATTGTTGTGGGTGTTCAGTGCCCCCAGCAACAATCAAGAGCTACTTATGTTGGTTGACATTTTTGGATTCGTACAGAGCCTCTGTGTAGATTGCATGCCATAGGTCCATTGTTTCCAATACATGCATCGCTTCATTCTGCAATGTTTTGACGTCTTTGGAAATTGAAAATTGGCGATTTTGGAGATTCGGGTGAGCATACGAATCATCCCCGTCCTATCGCTGAGCGACCATTTCTGTTCAAGAAGAGTGTGAAAGACAATCGCGAAGCAACTTGCGCCTGCACCCATGACGCAACCCCAAAAGGCTGGTGCCCAAGATATTTTCCCCTCTCGCCCAGCGAAATTCATAGGCGATTCATCAAAGCGTTTTCTCAACAATTCTAAGGGTAGGTCCCTCAACCCGTGTTGGCCTGAGAGTATGTACTCTTACCTGGCGTTAGCAGCTCCTATGTAAAAAAAGCTGGTTCTCTCGCCGCATCTCTCCACATAGCAATGTCCGACACAACGACACCGATGTCCCACTCGCCACCGTCGTCCAGGTGATGTATATATAGTCCTTGCATTGTTGTTGTAGTCAGACATTGATGTGGGGTCCGACCACAACAACACCGACATGGACTACATGTACTGTACCACCTTGATGACAGTAGTGGCGACATCCACCTCGATGCAGTCTCCACCGCCGTCGAAGTGGTTTTGTGGTCACATCTGTGTCGTTGTGATCGGACATGGGTGTGTGGAGAGATGCGGCGACAGAAGACCGATTCTTTGACAAAGGTGCTGCTGACGCCAGGTACTCTCAGGCCAGTGTTGATCCCTCCACCTCCTGTAAGACGTAACCGAATTGCGTTGATGGGCACCTTGTGCCGAACACGTATCCGTGACAAGGCTTTTGTTCTATCACTCCATATCGATGGTCGCTGTTTTGAAACGTGTCATCACTCGCGTGCACAGGTATCAAGAGCAGTGGGACCTTACGGGCCGCATCATGGGATCCCTGACAGTATCTTTGGGAACGTTTGTTGCGTGCGGCATCTTTGTGTTGGCGGAAGGGGTCAACAGCACGCTCCTGTTTTTCTGCACGATGGGCCTCATCATTTTGTCTGGCCTGTGTACTGCCGTCTTGCAGGTGAGATTCAGATAAGTACCGGTTCAATTTTGTGCATGAACACACACAAGAATATATCTATTTTGGACCCCACCCGTTGTGTTTCGAGGCACAGGACTAGTCGATCGTGTAAAATCGGGGATAACGTCACAACCCCAGTTGTTGCAACCATACCTTGTGGCGCTCACAAGGCTCTGTGGGCCACACGCGTCATAGGCGTTTCCACGCCAAAAATTAGCCAGCTGCAGCTCTTTTGAAGGTGGCCGAGGGACAGATACGTGATTTATCTTGCGTTCTTCTGTCGAAACCAGCTGTCCACATTTTGCGTGCACCCCACCTTCGACGTGCAGGGCGGTCTTTTCGCGATGGCGAGCGCTTTCCCGCCGCGGTACACCCAGGCAATGATGGCTGGTCAAGGTCTGGCAGGTCTTGCAGTAGCTCTGGCTGGACTGTTCACCACATTGGCCGGCCCTGATGATGACTCGTGCATTGTAGACCATTACGACACAATCGCTACTGTCCGTGACGGCGGTGCTACCGGCGGCAGTGCTGACGTTTTGACAGAGCGCCACCTGGCGCGACAGGAGACATCTGAAAGAGCATCGGATGTGGACCCATTGTTGGGGTCTTCCTGTGCAGCATACGCGAGGGACTGGAGCACCTTTGTTTACTTTGGCATCGCCGTTATGGTGCTTTTGGGGTGTATTTTGACCTACCCCCTGCTAAGGCGTCTACCATTTGCGTCTTTTTACATCAACACGGTCGTCGGCCTCGGCGACGGTTGCGACGAATGCGGCGTTTCTGTGGGGCGCGTCCGCGAAGGGAATGCGGACGGGGAAGGTGCCGACGATGACGGGTGGCTTGGCGTAAGGCGTGCAGCCGTAACTTCTACGACCACCAGCCCGACCGGATCTTCCATGTATAGACGCCTAGTCGACAAACCGTTGTCGGACTGCACCATGCATGATGCCGGCGGAGAAAGAGACGAAGCGCAGAAGAGAGAATCTGCAACAATCGTAAATAGTGGCAGCTATGTTGGAAGCGATACTCCAGTGGACGGGCTCCGGTCCAGGCTCGCGCCAATCTCGTCGTACGCGTTCGCAGTGTTTCTAGTCTTCACGGTGACGCTGTCTATTTTCCCGGGTGCCACGTCGGATATAGTGTCCTCCCGGCGGTGCGAATCAGGACGGTCGCGCTTCTTCGCGGGGGACGTGTTCGTCTTGTTCTCGTTCGTTTCTTTTAATGCATTCGACCTGCTGGGTAGGTTAGTGGCCGGCCTCGCGGTTGCCTTGCCGTACGCCTGGCTGCCGACCGCCTCTGTCTCGCGGCTTGTGTTCGTTCCGCTCATGCTGGCTTGTAGATCGAAGCACTCTCGGTTTCGCGACTGGCTCTCGGCTGACGTGTTCCCGTTGACCCTCATGCCTCTCTTCGCCTTCACGAACGGGTACGTGGGGAGCCTGAGTATGATGGCCGGTTCACAACTAGGGGCGTGGGCGGGAACCGCCATGGTGCTGTTTCTCAGCGGAGGGCTGTTGGCTGGGTCCCTGTTGTCTTTCTTGGTGTTGTTTGCAAGCACAGAGTAGTCACGAGTACAAAAGGCTATCATAGACCAATAGCGAAAAGGTTGCAGCTGGTGAGCGTTTATCGCGTTCTGTAAATTTTGTTCTGTAAATTCGCACACCTAGCATTCATTCCAACAATCGGAGTACAGCAAGTTACTCGCGTTACATTGGACGCTCTTTTCGAGAGGAAGCTCAAAACCTTCTCGTGCCGCTACTATTTGAGCACACGCTATATTCTAGTGAGCCTCAAATCGAATAGCGTACATTCTGACAAGCGGGGCGCTGTGTGGCATAACCGGATGCAAGACAGCAACCACAGCGGTGGCGAGGTGGACGCTGGAGTCTTGGGCGCCCACCGCTAGACTAGTGGTCGAACTAATATACTTTGTTTCCTTCTTTTTTTCCGCCCTCTTCTCGTTATCACCCAGCAAGCTCATGGAAGACTAAAAAAAGAAGTTGTTCGACCGCTTTCCCTGAACGTATGGCGAACTGTCCGCGTGCTCTTACAATACCACACAGTGGTGCGAACAAGGCCACGTGCTCCATCGATTTGGGAAAGCCAAAGCACGCACTTCTTCCCACAGAAGCAAACAGCGCTTCACACCATCCTCTGTACAACTGACAACGTCGTCGCACCCTCTCGAGGTGTCACTTGCCGCCTGGACGTCGGAGAATACGATCGCATCGTTCTGTGCGTGGGCGCGCCAAACTCACTCTGGGACGTCGAGCGCCGGCGCGCGTGATGAAAGTACACAGCAAAACATCTGAAATTCGTTTTGAACAACGTTACAACACCAGGCACCTCTCTCACAGTAATGGTGTGAACAAGGCCATACCAACACCGTCCGCCAACCTCTCAGAAAGCCAAGAGGGCACTCCGTCTCTCAGGGCTTCACAACGTGTCCTGTACAACGCGTTCTTGTTGCATCCTCCTAGAGTCTCACTTGCCGCCTAGTCTAGACGTCGGAGAACAAAATCGCATCTTCCTGGGGAAGGTTTCTTGGGCGTTCGGGCCAAACGCACTCTGTGATGTCGAGCGAGGGCACGCGCGAGAAAAGTACAAACCCAGCTAATAACGTAATAACGTGAAATTTTCACTGCAAATTTTAACAACTCGAAAACACGAGGCACCTTGTCACAGTAGTAATTGGTGTGAAGAAGGCCTTGTCAAACACTGTCCGTCAACCTCTCAGAAAGCCAAGAAAGCACTACGTCCCCCAGGGCTTCAAAACATGTGGTCTTCAACTTGTTCCTGTCGTATCCTCAAAGAGTCTCAATAACCGCCTAGACTAGACGTTGGAGAATACAATCGCATCTTCCGGGGGAAGGTTTTCTTGGGCGCTCGGGCCAAACGCACTTTGGGACGTCGAGCAAGGGCACGCGCGAGGAGAGTACAAACCCAGCTAAACACCTGAAATTTTTTTTGAACAACTTGAAAGCACCAGGCAACTCTCTCACAGTCAGTGGTGTGAAGAAGGCCATACCAAACACCGTCCGTCAACCTCTCAGAAAGCCAAGAAGACACTCCGTTCCCCAGGGCTTCACAACATGTCCTGTACAACTTGTTCTTGTCGCATCCTCCAGAAGAGTCTCACTTGCCACCTAAACGTCAGAGGATAAAATCAATCGTATCTTGCCGGGGGAAGGTTTTTCCTGGGCGCGTGGGCCAACACACACGTCGGGCGAGCGCGCGCGAGAGGAAAGAGGAAACCCGCGTACACCTGACGTTCGTCACAAAATACTTACAATACCATGTGGTGTCAGCTCAGCGTATGTGTGTTGTTGTTTTCGTCCAATTTATTGTGGCGACAGTCCCTTCATCTTTCGTGGTGAGACGTGTACTTACCTCTTCAGCGTATTATGTAGAGTAGACTACTACACTTTTCAGTGTATTTTTTCGTACAACTACAACTACAGTTGGCGCCCGCAGTTAAGAAACGCTTATTTCAGGTCCAGCCTCGAAATCTTGTGGGCTATGAACTCAGCGTATGTTGTTCAGTTTCTTATTTCAAGTTTCTTATTTTTTCGTGCAGCCAAATCCTGCTGAATTTCTTAAATCGGCAATTCCTTATTATTTCTCTGCTTGCATACTACACAACGTTCCAAATATACAAATAATTTGCACTGCTTTCCTCGACCCCCGTAACCAACCCCGATTCTCACTGCCGACGGCTGCACGTAAGGCCACTCCCTAGAAGCGAAATGTATCCAGCGGCAACGTCTCGCTATCGCTACAAGGTCCTGTACCCCCCTCATGAGTGAGGGCTGAAGAAACTTAACAAATGCATCAACACTGCATGATGCCTCACCCGCAGGCTGACGTGCCCAACAACGAAAACTACCCCGTCATTATCATGTAAGCTCCGTGAGGCGAACATTGGGGGTTGTCACCCTTTTGCGCCCCCCGCCCCCTTCCTATCTTTTTGAGACATTTCTTATTGTGTGACCCAGATTAAGCTATGTTTCTTAACCCTATTTTCTTGCTTTTCGTGAAAAAGTGAGTCTCAATTTCTAAATTTATTAACTGCGGGCGCCAACTGCTGTATCGAGGGTCACACAGGAGGGGGTAAACACCAGGACTCTTTTGTTCTTTGAATTTCTTTTCATGCCCCACCTTCGTCTTGCGGTGCGTGCTGAACTTGATTATTATCGCGAGAAGGGTCCAACCGTCCCTTTCCCTCGTCAACGGTGCTAACGTCGAAGCTTGATACTCACGAGAGCTTGTCAGTAATATTTCGCGTTCACGCGCACATTTCGAAAAATTTTCACTCCATGGGGATTCGAACTCACGACCTCTGCAACTAGCGGATTACGAGGATACCACTAGACCACCGGAGCGACCGGTAGTCAGCGTAGGTTCATTGTAACTCGTATGTACCTCGAGCGAATGAGTACCGCTTTTGCATTCCCAGCTTTAGTCTAACCCCCGAAAATACTAGTCTATTGAACTTGATTAAGACAGAGTACACGATATTTCACAACTGGTGTCCCAGACTAGATGGCCAAAGCTCGCCGTTGTTGCAGTTTTTTCGCCTTTCTCAGTCTAGACGGCCGACAGATCCCGCCTTCGAGGTCTGTTGTCCACCTTGCTTGTCACCATGGTGTCCCCGGCGAGAACTTGACTGCTGGTATTCGTAATGTCAGTGCTCGATACCGAAATTGACTCATATTCCGCGCCACGTCTGTCTTCGACCGGGATCGTCAACGCCTCCAGCGTCAACACGTTCCGCCCTAGCACGAACATCACGCTCATGAGCACCATTTCTACCACGAAAACCGCGTGATAGTCCATGAGCACGTTGCTGCTTTGTAGAGACCACGCCAGCAGAGTGCAGAGCCCTGAGAAAAAGTGCCAGAACAAATTCATTGAACGTACAAGTATGAGTTCAACAGTAGTTCCTGTGTGTCGTGCGCCGATATATTGCAACGACACACAGCAGTAACATAACCATAGCGGAACGCAATAATGAGCCGCGGAGCGAGCGAAGCGAGCGACATTTTTTCCCTTCGTCCCCAGGAGGGAAAAAAAAGCTCTAGTCTATGCATCGGCCAAAGTTGCGCCGCGCGATACAGGGGGCCCAACACTTGAATACGAGGAAGCCGAAATATCGCACCTTTGAGGTCAGAACGACATCTTAGGGCATCGATTGACGATCTGTTCGCTTATGAGGAGGAAAAAAAATAGCGCGCTCTTTGTCACACAAGTTTGGTCGTGCTCTGATAGCAGATGGCCGTGCCACACAAGCGTTTGTGCCCTATATTCGTAGAAGATCTTGCTCCCCAACCGCGGGGTTTCTACGCGAAAAGGCGTGTATACAAAAGAGAAGATCGCGCGCGCTCGCGATTCAAACCAAGACAAGAAACATAGACCGACGAAAGAACACCACCAACAAACGTATCACCGCTGAGACGCTGGTCTGAGACCAGCTATGAAAACCAGGAGGGGTCGGGCCTATACGACTTGTGCACCGTGGGTATTCTGTAGGCATGCGCCATGTGTAATCTAGCGGGTGTTCATTGATGTTGAGTGGGTCCCACCGACTGCTCCAAAAAGAGCAGACCGATTATCACAATTGAACACATAAATAACACACCTTCCCAAGTCCATATCACACCTACAACCATCGAGAAAAACCGTCGAGGGCGTGGTGGTCTGCTGCTGCTCCTGCTGTGCGTTATCAGGATGGTTCCGCGGGACCGGTTCAGATTGCGTACTTGCGCCGCGCTACTGACTGTCTTCGCAAAAGCTGTGCCCTGCACGCTGTTGTCGCTGCTGCAGGGTGTCTCGCATCAAAGTCATGACGTCATGGCCATCAACGGCTTTATTGTTTTTGGTTGATGCTGGACTGCTTGCTATCACTCGGAGGGAAACTCGGAAGGCTTGAGACGAATGTGGCGGGCAAGTTGTGAGCCTGACGCAATATTTGCCATCCGTGGTGTCACAATCCTATGTCTACGCTGCTTGTGGTGCTCCGACGGTGTGATGTGTGATACGCTCGTCGCCAGGTGTATGCCGCATGCGTGCCTCTTCCAGATGCCCACATGTGCATGGTTGCGTCCGCACAGCGGGAAGACTTCACATTTTGTTTCTTCGTGCATGTGCATCAGAACGGAAAAGAAAACTGCATGTAAAGTGCAAAATTTTGAACGGTGGCCGCACATACAACCATCGCCGCTCCCGTCGCACGCCTGCTGTCTCTCTGTGGTGCACGCGTAGCTGCACCATAAACGATTCACGCTGGTGTGTGTCGGGATTCGTGCACCATCAGCATCGCAGATAGGACAACTGCGAGGTATTGAATCGCACCGGGCGGCTCATTACCCCCCCACACCTAGTATATTGCAAGTAACTGCTGAAACAAATATCATCTTTGATCACCTGCTGGACCTATGACCCTGCCGAAGGAGCTTGCAACCGCAAATATCCCCCCCATCTTTCCCCGCATTGGAACTGGGACGGCGTTGGCCGAGGCGAGGTTCATCGCGGTCTCTACCTGTTGATGAAAACGTCAGAAAACGCCAGCAAAGGATTTTCGGTGGGAAGTTGCTCTTTAACTGCAATTCGTAGAAATGGGCGAAGAATGGGGTGGGAAACGATTGAAAAGATACAAAGAACGGTCGGGGGAGTCTGAACGTGTGAAGCATCGTTTCGAGGCGGTGGGAATCATACTAGCAAACGTGGTAATCAATAACAAGAGCAACATGTCGCCGTGCCAGGCATGCGAGACTGGTGTAGATTTCAGCACGAACCGAGTCCTTCAGGCCAGTCAATGGCACGATCTGCTACAAACGGAACATTGGACTCGGCCCACGCCCATGGTTTGAAACCCCTCCTATCCCACTACGTCAACCATTGGGATATGTTCGAGTCCTACAGAGTACCGTATCGCACCACAGATATACACGACCCAATGAAGATTACGATGGCAACTCCCACCACATACGACCCGTTCTCGCTCCAGTTGGCGCGCTGAATGTCGGGGACGAATATAAAACCTGCAGCGGCCAGCAGGCCGGAGCCCCGTAGCAGCCAAACAATTCCGATCGTTTTACAGAGCGCCGGGTACACGAAGAACTGGAAGAGCAATTGCCCGACGCCTGACCAACCGAGGACCTGCGCGTTCGCGCGTAGAGCCATACGTGGGGAAAATATGTCAACAAGGTGGATGGAGGTGAACACAAGGTATGAGCTCCTTTTTCGATGCCGCACAACTACAGTAAGTCGGTCGTAGTTGAGCAATGCGTGCAGTTATAAGAGCGCCAAGAACAATATCTTCACTCCCTACGCTCTTGGCACATCGTGGACAAAATCGCAGTCAAAGCGGGTGAAACCATCTACCGGATCCTGCCTCACCCAGAAACGTTTGGAAGGCATTTCAACGCATGCTCAGCGCGATACTTGAAACCAATTCATCCATGGGAAATGAAGCTTGATGGGCACAAGCTCGTTTATCAGCTGGCTGCGAGAGTGGTCACGACAAAGGCACGCACGTCTTGCGGTTTCTTACGCGTGTTGCAAGTGCTCACTTTGCCGATCTTGGGGACTGGCCATTCCAAGCCTCCCGAGTCTTTGCTTGCCAGCAGCCAGAGCGGATACATCTGGACGAAGCCCGCGTCCATTATCTAGACAAGCAAAAGGAACGGGAATGTTCCACGTGTGAAGAATGTCGGCGGGGTTCACCCACCCTGCCACAGGAACAGCAACTATGAACCAGGAATGAACCAGGAATGAAATGAAAACAGTTTCGTGTACTGCGATGTTTGTTGGTAACCGGACGGAACATCTGGTGTGTGGAAGAAGCACTCAGTGCGTCACTCCACAGCCAGTGATGATGAGTGTATTGTTTGGTGCCCTCACCGAAACCAAGCACTGCATCAGCACCAGCAAGCGAACACGCCGGGGAGTCAGCAGTCCGCCCGGCCCGCATAGTGAGGATTCACCGTCACGCGCGGTGCTTCCGGACCACCGAAGATGTCGCGGCGAAGCATCATCACCGCACTCCTCCTCCGCCGAGTAGTTGCTGATGTTGCGGCGGTGCCCTTTCTTGTCCAAAAGCGGTGATTTGACTTTCCCCCTGCGTGAAATGTTGTCGTTGCTGCTGCTGCTGCTGCTGCTGCCGTCGCTTCTACAAATTCCTCGCCCTGCAGCTGCAGCCTGCGAAGATCCTACAGCAGAAAGCTTTCCAACGCTGCAATGATCTTGTGGGGGACATTCGTCTTCCGATGAATCTATCATTCCCCCGGGAGAATCAACAAGCACGATGCCACCGCCATCGCCGGCAACAGCAGCAGTGTCTTGTGCATATCTGGAGTGCCCAACATACACGCCCATGGGGTTTTGACAGGACGGGGGTGTCAGAGTGAGGGACGGAAATCAATGCGGTCTCCCTCTTTCTTCGTTTGTCCAACATCTTGTAGACGATAACCTGAACCAATATACTGCCAAGCAGCCTACATCACCAAGCGTCACGCAAACTGATTGGCACAATCGACGTGGCATTGATAAAATCGTGGCCACGAATTGCGATGGTGTCAACATCAGCTCACTAATATAGCCCCCAAAGTACTCGGAGGTGAACTTATTGCCAGTTTGAAAACGCGCTTCAGCGCACAACATGTTGCCGTGGGTGTCGCAGTTCCATCTCGCCTGTTTGCCGAAGTATGCACATCGCCCTGCTGCCCTCGTCTCGCTGTGCTGAGGGTCTCGGGTAAAATCAGAAGGGCGAGAGGAAGAGCCATGAACGCTAAGAAGGCCACCGCAAGATTCGGCAACAGGAACGGATACCTGTATGAGAGGGTGAAGGGTTTGCACGCACAGACAGGGTGGAACGAGGGAAAGGACGGAGCGAGAAATGTCACCACACTTCTTCAAAATGTAAACATGTTTCGATACTTGGATCCGCGTTAAATATCTAGATCCCCGAAACCGGTCGAGATAGAATGCCTGTGCCCAGGAATTGTGAACGGTAGGTTGTCATAGATGGTTACGGTACGGCACTAATCATGCATGCATACCAATTCAGCAATTAGTACATCAACGAGTGAGTTTGATGAAACTTTGACGCCTTCCACCGTTCCCCCGGCCGCGGAAGTCACCGCGCAGCGAACACTATGTTTCATATTCCGGCCCATAATCGCTATAATACAGAAACCCCTACTGCTAGTCGTTGCTGGATATTAATGTGGATGACCTGCCGATGACTAGCCGAATGAAATTGATACGCAGGGGACGGGATCTCCAAGTGTTGGTCACGCGTCTGCACAGTCATACCTGGCGAAGAATCCTGTTGAAGAGAAGCTAGACGGGTGAAAAATGCTCGGCTGCGCGAGCTGACCTCCGATTGTTGGACCAATGATGGATCCGATCGCTCGTGACCCTTTCTCGCACAAGGTTGAGAAAACAGCATTCGGCCGAGGCAGTGAGGAGAAGGAAAGCAACAGGGTGTCAAAAGCGGGATGGTATCATTCACCTGCCACACCATATACATGATGCATGCTCTAGCATCTTTCAAGATTTTATTGCTTATGAGTTCGCGGTTTCCTCAGCCTTGCTTGTACCTTGTCTTTTGCCCCTTTTTTCGATGCATACGAATTTCCTTTCTAACTGGTTCTACCCGCCGTGCTGCTACGATCTTGCGGCAAGACAGGCGTAATTTCCTCTACGGTGGATGCCATCACTCTGGTCGAGAGAACGACGCAACAACCCTTTTTTCCATTCGCCAAAATATAGCAAAAACATTCAATACTTACAAACAAGAGCCAACAGTTTTGACACAACGCCTGCACTGTTCAAGGTTCGTTGAGACCTTTTGAGACCACGATTGGTACCTGACACGCCTGTCTGACGCTTTTCCCTGACGGGCCACAAAGCAAGGCATGAAAGTCTTCACACGCGCGCGTCCACACACACAAGCGGCTCTTCTTACCGGGGAGCAATGCAATACCAACGACAGACTTATCCGGCCCAAGGAGCTCGACGGCCATGATCCTTGCCACGGCAATGATGCTATTGGCCAGCCCGAAAAGAAACCTGCGTGCGTGGCGCAGCATTTAAGGTTTATACGTGCCGACTATATCAGGGATGGTGCAGGTGTGAAAAACATGAATACATTGCTTTGGAGAACTACATACCCACCACCTGGGAACATTCCGTCGAACAGTTCAAACTCTTCACCATCTCAACCATCGTAAGCGAATGAAACCCAGCCAAAAGTACTATAGGCTTCAAACTTAGGCATAGCCTTGGCAACCCTTGACCTTCGATGTTCAGGCTGTGCGTAGACAACACTGCACTGACCATTTTAGGGGCTGCGCAAACGAACTGTATGCATAGCATCAGACACGGTACCAGACCGCGCACCGCCTACACGTACAGTGCAGTAGAAGAGAAATATTGGAGACCAGTTCAATGCCAAGGCGACGGTGTCACGACAAGTCCTGACTGACAGTGAGGGAGCATGGAGCTTCTTGCACTCTTCGTGGCATCATCCCAGAAACATGATAAAAAATACCTTGAGATCATGGCCGCAGCCAAGGTTTCCGACATTCCAAAGGCAATCGAGAACAAGCCCGTCCCGAAGACGCCAATCAGCATGACCGGCTTCCGCCCGAATCGGTCTGCGAATATTCCCCAAGGGTAGCTTGAGAGAAGACCGCCGATTGTGTACGAGCTCAGCAACCAACTCGAGTAGTAGCCTGTTGTAAAGCAAAACAAATTAGTTTCAGCCGAGAGGGGGTGAGGAAATGAGAAGCGAATCGAATGGTTGACATGTGTTGGTGTGTTTCCTCGGGACAAGCCCCGCATCGTAGCATGTAGGCAGCGCTCCGCCCCTGGTCGGGCTGTTGGGACCTACACAGAGGAAGGAAAGCCTGGGACGAAGTAGATTGACCCAGGGCACATGCTATGTTACTTATTGCAACTCGATTAGGGATAAATTTGAGTCTTACACCGATCCTGCGCGTGTATGCATATCAGCATCGACCGCGCTAACCGACCGATCAATGGAAATTCCCTTACCTTGGTGCAGCTTCAAAGCGGAAAACAACTCGAACTCATTTCATGATCTAGGATCCCGTGCGAGGGGGGTCACAGGGAAGGCTAGGCTGTTGTGCCGGATTGGAGCTTCACATCGTAGAAGCGGCAACACATTGAAGATATGCATACATCATGCTGCTCGGGGCCACAGAGACGACGGTTCGTTATTTTTTTGTGACGCGATGAACTCATTGCTACATAAATGTATCCCGAACCGTGTCTATCAGTGGGTGAAGATTAATTCGTCGAATTTTTTAAAGGAAAGAAAATAAAAAATAAATAGCATACAGAAAAGATCAATACGACAGCTACCAAACTGTCTTGTTGAGCCTGTTACCCACAAGAGGGATTCCGATGAATGCTCCTCGGAAAATCGTAGAAATTAGGTAGCCTCCGCTGACCCTGATGCATTCATTTTATCTATCTTAAAACTCGTTTCTATATGCATGTATAATGAGGAACGGATCTGGGAATGTTCCAAACAATTTCAAGAACCGTGCACAAACAAAAGAACAGATATCAGAGAAAGCAATTTCACCATCACTTTTTTGTCTTTTGTGCGACCGAGTGCCGACACGGAAAACAGGAGGCAAGAGGGAGGAAAGTTAAAGCAGCTCAAGCGTGTGTCCCTCGTCCCGGCCGTGGGGCGTCAGGGTCTTGGGTCCGCTTTTGGGGGTGCCCAGAGGTTTCTTTGCGTGTTTCCTCAATGCGTGCGGTTGGCAGCGTTTCTCTCGTTTGCTCTGTTGCCTTTTTCCGATGGCCACGCCTAGCGGCACTATCATGTCTTGGGGTTCGGGCGAGGCCGTGCCGATTGCCGAGAAAAAAGTCTGCGACGTGATCCTCGCGGCATGCGCTGGGGTCGAAGACGATTCTCGCCTGATCGATCTGGCGCGGATGGGTGTTTTTCCCGGGCCGCGCGCCGCCGACACGGTCAAGGACGCGGGCCAGGTGATCACGGTGCTGCTTACGACTATCAATGCTTGCACCGAGGAACCCAAGCCACTTCTACTGGAAGCCTACGGGGCAGCGGCGACAGGAGCCGGGAGCGGCGCGGCAGGCCTCAAGCGCGGCGTGAGGGCGATGTTGCAGGCCGCGATGGAGTACCTCTTCACGTGTGCGGATCACGGCGGCATGCGGGTGGTGGCAGGATAAGCGGCTATGTTGCCTACAGTGATCACGGGGGGGGCACTCCAGCGCGGTCGGAACCGAGGCGGCTTACGCGGCCGCAGCCCCGGCCGCGGCTGCCGCGGCGGCTCCGGCGCCGGCTCCTGCTACAGCAGCCGCGACGGCTCCCGCGCCAGCGGTCACCACCGCGGGCGTGGCGACGGGGCCAAGAAGCGTTCGCATGCAGCGTTGGACACGGTGGACAGCTTGCTGGAGGAGGTGAGCAAGAAACCGGCGGCGAGCGGCCATGTAGGGGACACCGCCTAGCCTCTCTACGAGGTCACCCGACAGCTGAGTGCGTGATCGCCTGCGGTTGAGACAGGGAGATGGCCTGTTCGTAGCGGGGTGCGGGGTAGCGTAGCAGCGTGGGGCTGCGGAGGTCAGACGCATGACAAGATTAAGCGCACACACATATTACCACTGGTACTTTTGCTGCACGCACGACAGCGGATGTGGTAGGAAAAATGGAAGCGAGAGGACAGGCACGCCGCACACATATCAGAACGCAAATACCGGTACACGACAGCGCACAGACCAACGGATCTTTCAGAGAAGGCAGTAGGTCCTTGGGCACCCGCATAGCCGTGGTTGGTGACGCTGCGGAGTACGGTTGTAATGTGGGACAGGGCTATCTCGTTCTTTTGTTGGGTGCTGTACGTTGGTTTGGATGCCGACCACAGCGCACTCGTTGTTATTTTCCCATTCATGCAACTACAAAAAAAAGAGGGCATGTGTGGGCGTCCCTTTCGTCCCACAGACTGGGGTTTTTGTTAGTACATATGGGGAACCGAGAGTGCTGCTCGGGCGGCGCTATTCCTTTGGTTCGAAGGCAGCGAGCGCCCGTAATGTGCAGGTTTCCGGGGCGTTTTCGCACTAAATTGCACGTCGCTTGCTCGCTCCATTCACCTTGTTTTCTGCACGCGTCTACCGGTACAAATCGAGATGGAGAGTTCGCCCGCACAACATATTGCGCAACGGAAGAGTTCGTCCGCTCGGTGAAACAATATATTCAAATTGGCATCGGTTTTTCAGTAAGTGTGGGATGAGTGCGGGGGCC